ATGATCCTGATTTTATACCAAATTCATCTGATGATGAGGGTATGTATAGTTACAAAAATCAGCCTAAAGTGGGATATTACAATCTACATAGACTTGCTGATGCTCTTCGGCCACTACTGTCACCAAGTCAGATACAGCAGATAAAGCAAATCCTCCCCGGGTTTCACGTGCATTTTCAAACTGCTTATCTTCAGTTGTTTGCAAGGAAATTAGGGCTTCAGAATTCCAAAATGGAAGATAAAATGCTGGTTGAAAATTTGCTTGACATAATGAAGGACAGTAAAGCAGATTTTACCATGACCTTTTGGGAGATTGGAAACCTGTCACTGAAAGAAATAGAGTCAAAGAATGTACCCAAGAACTTTTGGAGCTTGCCTAAGATTTTAAATCACAGCAAATTTGATTCATTCCTGAGTCAGTATAAGTTGCGCTTACAAGAAGAAAATTCGAGTGAGGAGACAAGGCAGTCCATCATGGCTAGTACTAATCCAAGGTATATCCTAAGAAACTGGATAGCTCAGCACGTAATAGAACAAGTTGAACAGGCAAACTTTAATGAGTTAGACCAAGTGTTGAATATTTTAAACAGTCCCTTTTCTATTCAACCAATTGCTGAAAAGAAAGGTTTGGCCAGTTCTCCTCCCAAGTGGTCAAAAACTTTAAGAGTCAGCTGTTCAAGCTGAAATTGAATCATCTTGTACACAAGCATATACCTCATGGAGAGAAATATACAGTACAATTCCCAAATGAAGGGATGCTCTTTGTCTATTTTTGTTCTGATTTCACCAGAAGTACATATAAGGGTATTTATACTTGAACATCAATGGTCTAAATGTCTGTGTAAAGTAGGTGTGTACTTTTTATGCATATGTATGTATGTGACATAAATATCCTCTATGTACACACACACACACACACTCGCACACACACACACACACACACACACACACACACACACACACACACACACACACACACACACACATTCATACACACACACACGCACGCACACACACGCGCGCACAACACACACACACACACACACACACACACACCACACACACACACACACACACACACACACACATGCACACACGCACATGCACGCACACACAAATACAAATACACACACACACACACAAATACACACACACACAAATACACACACACGCACAAACACACACACACGCACAAATACACACACACACACACAAATACACATACACATACACACACAAATACACACGCGCACACACACATACACACGTGCACACACACAAATACACATGCGCACACACAAATACACACACGAGCACACACACACAAATACACACACACGCACACACAAAATACACACACGCACACACCAAATACACACACGCACACACACAAATACACGCATGCGCACACACACAAATACACATGCGCACACACACAAATACACACATGCGCACACACACACAAATACACACGCGCACACACAAATACACACACGCGCACACACACAAATACACGCACGCGCACACACACAAATACACACACGCACACACAAATACACACACGTGCACACAAACACAAATACACACACGTGCACACAAACACAAATACACACGCGCACACACACGCACAAATACACACACACACAAATACACATACACATACACACACACAAATACACACGCGCACACACACATACACACGCGCACACACAAATACACACGCGCACACACAAATACACGTGCGCACACACAAATACACACACGCGCACACACAAATACACACACGCGCACACACAAATACACATGTGCACACACACAAATACACACATGCGCACACACACAAATACACACATGCGCACACACAAAATACACACATGCGGACACACACAAATACACACGCGCACACACAAACACACGCGCACACACACAAATACACACACGCGCACACACACAAATACACACACGTGCACACAAACACAAATACGCACATGCGCACACACAAATACATGCGCACACACAAATACACACACGCGCACACACACAAATACACACACGCGCACACAAATACACACACGCGCACACACAAATACACACATGTGCGCCACACACACACACAACACACACACACACACACACAACACACACACACACACAACACACAACACACACAACACACACACACACGGCACACAGGGAGGGAGGGGGGGGGGGCAAAGTGTATTGCGAGTATGCTTCATTTATATTATATTTTATAAGGTTATTAAATAGATTATATTGTTGATCGCACTTATACCTCTATTTTGGTATTAATTGGTATTTTGACACATTTGCAAATACCATTTAGACTACTTTTTAAACCCTCAGGTCATTTCTGTAATAATGGATGAATAAAAATATATAGTCTGAAGAAATGCAAAATATTTTTTAACACCTGTAATAGCTTTGCATTTACACCTGGTTTAGCCTAGAAGGAAGCTATTGTCTAACACATCTGAAGTAATGTATCCATTGTTTACCAGTTGGTGGACCTATAAAAACCTGCAGAAAGTGAAGAGTTCAACTGTCTTTGTTGAATATTAAAATGCACAGTAGTTGATCTATCCATCTTTCAGAAAATTTTAGGCTTAAATTGGATATTATTTCTTACTCTACATCCAATAACTCCTAGAGATGTTGGAGTTTAGGCTACAGAAGGGAGAGAGGGGAAAACTAAGCACACGGCTGTAACTTAATGAAACATGATTTTATTATCTTTATGCAATGGAGCAATATGGAACAATACAGTTTCTTCAGACAGGAACTCATATTTCTGATAATGCAATTGACCAATATGGGTTGTCTAAGGCCAATACTGCAGTAACTTGCAAGAAAAATAAAATATATGAATATATGCTATCATGTGGCATGTCAATGCACTTTTTCTTGCAAAGATTACCCCCCCCACCAGTCCCTTGCCTGTTGTTGTCGTGGGGGGGCTTAAGAAACGAAGACTGAGACCCACCTTTGGGCCTCAGCCCTCAACTCGGCTAATTTTGCCTGGCCTTTTCTCCCTCCAGCTTTGTTTCCGTCCCTTCTCCAACCCCTTCTACTATCTACTTCCTAAGGTGTAAAAGCCGTGCTAAAATGATGAAAGGCTGGCTTGTGCCAGTCCTGAACGGCCTGAGGGAACCATGGACACGGTATTCCCGTTTTAGTTGCGTATCCCTTTCCCCTAAAGGGGACCCTGACTGTTCATTTCCCCAAGATAGTCGAGGCTTCCCATGGCCAGTAATGAAGAAGTAATGCCCCTATTTGGGGCTTTCCGACCCCAGGCTCTCCTTTGATCACAACTCTGAACACTGCAACTAGTACCCACTCCACAATGCCTACTTGTACATTACCCACCCAAGTCAAGATAATCTCCAGAAGACATTCCTACTCTCCCTACTTCCTCAACTCTACCCCCACAACCTTCTTTATCAAAAACCCCATCTTCCCTTATTACTACCTTACAGCCTTATTCCCCATCTCTCCGTAATACTACTCCCTCAACAATCTCTTCTACACGTCTTTGTCCTTCTACCACCCCCAACTCTACAAATATCTTGAATACTCTATTTAGCCCAGCCAAATGGGACCGATTTTTCGTGATCCCCCTACAGCTCCTTACTCAGACACTTTTCTCTTTCAACATTGTCTCTTGAAGCAAGTGGGCAGAGTTCCTTTCCGTACCCGACCCGATCGTTCCTGTCTCGTTACAGTTACATCTGAACCCCAAGCTATAGCATTATCAACTCTAACTGATCTCTCTGGCAATCCCATTTCTGCAGAACCTCACCCTACCTTCAGAACTTGTACCGGAACTGTCAATATCGCATTAGCAAACTTCTTTATCTATAACAAAGATTGGTCAGATTGTGGAGAAGACTTACTAGCCTGCCTCCCGGACTATGATGTACTATCAGTACAGTGCTACTTCATTCCTCTTAGAGGTCATCGAAAGCCCCACCAACATTGCCAAAATTACTTTCCGTAGACATGACCTTCCCTTACGTATCTACATTGGGGGACAATCCCTCCCTGTTCGACCATACCAACTCCCTCCCCGTCAATGTCAAAACTGTTGGCGTTTTAGACATCCTACCAAACACTGCCGTTCCACAGCCCGATGCCCCCTATGTACCCAAGCTGGTCATAACCGATTAAACTGCTCTGCACAATCACGCACATGTGCTAACTCCGGCGGCCCCCATAATGTATTTTGTTGAGGCTGCCCCACCTACAAGTTTGAATCTGAGGCGGCAACTCTCAGATATAAACTTGGTCTCACAGCGTGAAACCAGACAGGAAGCACTTCGCCGAGGTTTCTCTCATACTCCATACTCCAGTAATGTCGCTCGCTCTGCCCCTCCCGCTGCACCCCAAGATGTTCCAAATACACCCTCCCCTATACAGCTTACTTCCCCACTTCAACTTCAAATTCTTTTGCTACTCTAAATCCACACTCCAATCTAAACTACAGCCCCAATACCTCCCCCCCCCCGCACTACCCGCAGCAGACAGACTAAACGTTCCATCCCTTCTACCACATACTCACCTTCACCTACCTTTGCCTTTAACCTTAGAAATCAGTCCCCTCTTCCCCCTCACAAGAAAATATTTCTCTCACAAAACTCTCCAACCAACTCCAACTGCAGAAACTCTTGAAGATATTCGAAACTCTGCTCGAATCCAAAATTGAAACCGAAACCCCTCACCCACCATCGAAATCCACAACTCCCGCTCCCTCCACACTCAAAGTGACTGCCGATTTCCATCCTCTTCCTACTTTGCCCTTCCCCTGATCCTTCACCTCCTGATACTGTAGCCGACCCCCGCAACCTGCAGCGCAGCATACTTCCCCCAGGTTGGGTCCAGGTCCACAGCCTGTCCTCTCGCCTTCACCATCAGCAGCTTCTCGACGACGCATACCGAGACCTGATTGGTTGACCACGGACACCTCACGGCTTGCCTATTGGACCACAGGCTCCCCTCGTTCCCGGGTAGCTTACACAGCTCAGATCCACTTAAGTTCCCGCAAGGAAGCAATGACGTCGTCATGCTCCAGGAGACACTAACTATGGGATCCGTGTGCTTCTCAGGATATCATGCCTTCACCACTCCAAACCTGGATGGTGCTAGAGGCCTGATGACCCTGGTAAAAGAAGCTATCCCGTGCTACATAATAGCCAATCCGCCGCACTGAGGAGATGGTGTTGAATCTCTTGCTGTTAAGATTCAGCTACCTGGGGGCCCTATAAAAATATATATTTATAGCAAACCACTGTGTGAGAGCTTAGATCTAAACCAGGTCTGTGCTACTGCAGCACAAGACCGAGTGATCATAGGGGGAGACTTCAATGCACACATGGCCATGCTGAATCCCCGCAAAAGGCCGAACGCGGCAGGCATTCACATAGCAGAAGTGCTTGAGACATTCCCTGAGATCGCTCTTCTCAACACCAAAGAACCAACGCATGTGAAGGGAGGGGTCCTAGACCTCACCTTTGCCACTGCAACAATGGTGGAGAGAATTCGGTGGTGTGTCGATGATACGGTTACTAGTGATCACTACGGCATAGTCACCACACTAATGGATGCAGGTCCAGCCCAAAGACCACATCACATTCCTAAATGGAAAACAGACAAGGCCAACTGGTTTGCCTTCCAGGAAGGCTTGGCTCGATGTCTGAAAGACAATGAACCCAATAATAATAATGAAAATGTGGATGTGCTAGAGGCAAGGCTAATCCAGGCCATAAACCAGGCAGCCTCACAAACCATTCCCAAAACTCGCCCATGGTCCAGAACTCACAAAGACGCCTGGTACTATAATGACGAGATCAAAGAGGTCAACCACAGGGTTAATATGTGTAGAAAAAACTTCCGACGGCAAAGATCTCCCGACAATCTGGCCCTGTTGAGGGAAGC